CAGGAAGGGCCAGGAGACAGAGAGAACATTGCTGAAAGCCAAATAAATTGCAGCAACCTCCGAGATCACTGGGTAAGGAATTAAATATATTTAACATTTTAAAACCTGTCCCTAAAAGCAGAGCAGGRATGTCAGGGCAGTGTCCTCACCTCCTTGTCCTCCTTGGGATTGAAGACAAACAGCAGCTTCCTGGCAATTTTGAACACAGACAGGGCACTTCTTTTACTTGAGCCACACTCATTTGTACCAAAGAAATCCTCCACCTCTCTCCTACCAAAGTGGGAAAAACCTGGAGTTAAAAAGCAAGCACGGAGCAAAGGCAGAACTCCCTCCCTGAAAGGGCCCACAAGGAACATGGAAAGAGACTTTTTACAAGGGCCTGGAATGACAGGACAGGAGGGAATAGACTCAAACTGACATGGAACAGGGTGGAAGAAGAAAAATCTGTGGCTGCCCCATCCCTGGAAGTGTCCAAAGCCAGGCTGGATGGGGCTTGGAGCAACCTGGACTAGTGGAAGCCATCCCTACTCACGGCAGGGGTTTGGAATGAGATGAGCCTTAAGCTCCCTTCCAAACCAACTCATCCCATGAATCCCACCCACCTGATGTCCCTCTGCAGGCGGCAGCGACACAGGAACCTCCTGACCAGAGCCTGGAGCTGGACTGCAGCTCTTTCCCTCTCCTTGAGCTCCCGCCGCTCCTCCCGCGCCTGCCGGGCCTTGTCCAGGAACTGAGCCCTGGATGACTGGCTGGCACTGAACATGGCTGCAACCTCTCAGGGAGCAAWGCAAACACCTGGAAAAAACGGGAGCAGAGTGAGAAAACACCCAGGGAAGGGCAGTTCTCAGCTGCCAGCAGGGGAGGGGAGAATCTAACAGCAAAGGGAAAAGTGGGGAATAAAAAAAACACAGTGATTGTCACAGGGCTGCAGCAGGGACACACAAACACTGACASGGAATCCTTCCAGCACAGCCCACAGCCTGCTGCAGGCTGGGAGATTTCAAGTGGAAAAATAAATAAASCAGTGTTTTGACGCTGTGTTCCACTCCCTGAAACTCCACCTCCCCTCTCCAGCCTCTGCTCTTTCCTTGGTCACAGAGAAGAACAACTCCCCAGCCAGGCACAGGAGGYAAAGGGCACGAGRRACACTGATTTATTGMCACTCACCAGATAAAACACCCAGGRTCAACMAGAGCTTTATAAATAGTAACAAGGAACTCACCTGAGGGGTCAATTCTTCAAGGAAAGCGTGAGATCTTCATTTACACACACACATGACCTACATCCAGAGACTTCGGGCAGCTCCTGCACGGACAAGTGCATTCCCTGCGGGTGATTTTGGGATTTAGACCTTCCCTCTGCAGCTCCAAGTCCTTTGGACCCGATTTATCTCTCGCTGCACCCACAAGGAAAACGGTAAGAGGGAGGAGAAGCAGCACCGGCACAGGCAGCTGGAGGGGAGGGATAACTCCATGTGTGACAAGGACAAAGCGACCCACGGCCCCCGGCATCGGAGCAGGTGCCACCCCCGAGTAGGGGGGGCAGGACCCGAGAGCCACTCACAGCCCCTGAGCAGGGCTGCACCTCCCGAGACTCGCACAAGCCACGAGAAAAGCAGACAGACAGCTCCTTCAGCCGCTCTCACAGCCCCCTCAGCCCCTCTCACAACCCCCTCATTTCCTCTCACAGACCCCTCAGTCCCTCTCACAGCCCCCTCAGTTCCTCTCAGAGCCCCCTCATTTCCTCTCACAGCCCCCTCAGCCCCTCCCACATCCCCCTCAGTCCCTCTCACAGACCCCGCTCTCAC